CCAATACTTGAAAATGTTTTTTTCAATTGGTCCACCAAAGTTTCTCATCAGAATTGAACATGATCACATCAACTTTAAAACTTTTTGAAAATGTATCACCTTCTGATAATCGACCAGTTTCAATCGGGTACCTTCTTTGCCGGAGAACAACGTTGTTCTCCGTCCATTTGCAGGATTAATAAAACATTAATACGCACGAAAAAAGCTTCAAGCATCGCGATCAGACATAAATTTCCCTAAATAGTAAGAAATATTCGAGGGAAATCAAGAATTTATGCCTGCGGTTACGTTTCTTTTCAAGCGATGGCATTTTAGGCACGGTTAGTCGAAGCCTGTAAAAATCGAAAATTCCGCAAAAAATTAAATACTGTTGCTTGATGCACCTCAATAAGACATAATTTTACATTTACCGTATTTACACAACCACGCAAAGGGGTTTTTGTCAAAAATGTTCATGATATGGTTTCCAGTAAAACACGCACCTCATTTTCGCGACTCTGAAACAGCAAAATTTCAAAAACAAGATCACACAAAATTGAATTTAGACATGAACTGATCCAGAGTTCAACTAATTCTCAATTTTTTATAATCCAATATGCTTTTCTGTTTCTAAAACGTCCCATCCGAATCAAACATAATGGACCCATTAACTTCTGTAATGTTCAATATTTGATGGCGTGCGCCCACTTTTTTTCCTCTGAATTTTCGGAGGAAAATGCGCCTGGTACACAAGTAAATAGGTAAACTTCAATTTCTCATGGGAAGAATTTCCATCCTAAATTCTTCATGCTACGAATAAAAAACAGGAGGACATGACGACATAATCAAGCCGTTTCCCTTGGGTACCTTCTTCACCGAAAATAACAACGTTCTCGTTCATTTGCAGGATTAATAAAAAAAATTACGCACGAGAAAAGCTTCAAGCATCGCAATCAGACATAAATTTCCAAAAACAGTACGAATTGATCCGAGGGAAATCAAGCGTTTGGAATCAAAATTATGCCTTCGGTTTCGTTTCTTTTTGAAGCGATAGCTTTTCACGCACGGTTAGTCGAAGCCTGCGAAAGTTATAAATTCGAATTTATCATCAATGGGGAAACATTTTTGTGACGAAAAGGAATCGCCAACACACAAGTACTCGGAAAAGGCACTACAGTACCTTTTTTTCCGTGACGACGCAGCTTGAATTTCCGGGGAACTGCGAAGGCCGACGTCGACGACTTAATTTTCCCGCAAGTCGGACGAGGAATTTAGATCACGAAGAAAACGCCCAGAGGGCTTGTGATGAACGCAGGAAGATTTACGGCCCCAGGCCCGGGCTCGGAATGGTTCACAACAAACGCTGGCAATCCGGAAAAAGGGGGGCTTCCTCGGGTTTCGGATTGGAGACACGTAAGAAAAATTCCGCGAGAAACCCCAGAAGTTGAATCCGAAGCAGAAAAACTCCGAAGGAATCGCGTGAATCCCCCGAGGGGCATTCACCCATCCTTTTCGGGCCTTCAACAAATAATTTCAACAAAATCTCACATTCACATGAATGAAAGATGAAATCAAGTTGCTTGAACTAGTGAGACCCCCACATGCAGATGTCTAGACCTGTGGACAATTTGACATAGGAACACTTATTTTCCCAGGAAAAAGTCAATAAATAAGGCCTGACATGAGGACACTGACTCAACATCGGGACATTTTGAGATAAAATTGCAAGTACATTTCTGGCCAAATTACAAAAAACGGATATTTCCAACCCTAAAATTGATGTAAGAAAAGTTCTTGGGCACTTCTCTCACCAATTTACCATCCATTTAGCTAATTTAAAAAATATTCAAGTGGCAAACAATTATTTTCAGGGGATTCTGAAGAATATTTCTTCCACAAAACACCAATTAAAAATCATACAATGTAAGTCTATGGGAAAACAAGACTCGACTTAGGGACACTCTTGATGCATCAATTACGTCCGCATCTTGGGGTCTTACTGCAAATTATGGTGGAAGCCCGCAGCTAAATCATGGTTATAAGTTAAGTTGCTGACTTGGCTAAGCCTACCCCAATAGATGGGAAATCGGACAGATTATTCTGGTGCTTTCGCGGTATTTTTCGTTAGATCGTGGATCCAAGTTAATTCCAACGAAAGTCAAACCCCATTAAGCCGTCACCATTGGAAATAGCCAATTCATTTTGAAAATACTCCCTTAAGGATCCGAAAATTGGAAACCCGGTTGAAACGCCACCCATCAAAATCATTGACAGCTCGAATATGCCCGTGCCATTTAATTTTGTCTTCGATTCCCCACCAACACGATTCAAGTTCCTGCGAGAAATCTAAAATAAGAAAAAACGCGGTACATAAAAATGCACTTCTCGGGAACATGAGTAATACAAAATTCACTACATATCCCAGGCTTATTTCAATATTTTCATCTCATTTTCTACCGTCATACTACATTAATGTGCCATCAAAAAAAGCCGCCATTCTTGGGAACCAACAATCTACAGTACAGTATTTTGAAAAACCTAGTGATAATAATATTGAAAACCTGATAAAACACCATCCGCAAAAATTATTAGCAACTCAGTAATCCGGCCAATTCATAGTCTCCCATAGCCCACCAACAAGATTCAGGTTTCTGTGAAATGTCTCCAGTTCAAAAAAAAAAACCAAGATGACATGATGTACCACTCGGTAACTGCAGGTAGATATACTGTACTTCACGCATACCTAGGGTTCTTTTGATTGCTTTCTGGAACTGGAGTAGTTATTCTAATTCGCAATATCCTTGACTTTCATGTTATTTTAGCTTTTTTCATAAACCACCAACACCCTTTCAAACAGACACAAACAACAAGGGGCGGCTTATCAAGGCTAAACTGCATTTCACTTGATTTCTAAGTTATTTACTGTATTTATGAACAGGCCAAAAATTTGGTGGGGGCTAATCCAGGTTCGACTGCAGTCCGCAATTCATTAGTGAGTTAGAAATCCGCTCAATTTCGACGCATGATGCGCATGCAAATCTCGCAAGCTCGTCAAAAATCCAACAGGGGTCTCCCAAAAAAAAAATAAGACAAGCATGCTTCGGCGTCCATCTTGAAGAAAAAGTCCTCCTCTAAAATCAAAGTCGGTCAGCTCTCAAATCCCGGACGGGGAAGGGCAGCAAGGTCGGCAACCTTGGGCGACGAGCAGCCGCAGACGTACAGTACTTGCGTACAGCACAGTACTCACAGCCGCCACGAACGCACCTGGGGGGCTGTCGTCTCGAGGCCGTGACCCAAGCCAAACGCGCATCCGAACCATCAGAAGCGCCTTTTCCCCTCCGCTCGCCGAGATTCACGCCAACGAATCGCACACATCGTCGTGACAACACAACCACCACCACCACCTGGGCCCTCCATTAATTCAGCCCGTCAGCAGCACGACGTCCCGTGCTGCCACGTCACGATCCACGAGGATTTATCATCCATTCGAGTGTTGCGAGCGAATCCTCCGATTGCCGGGGAGCTACTCGAACTTGTCCCCAGTAAAACAACAAGACGGGGGAAAAAATGCATTCTTATCTGTCGAGAACCGAAGTCCCCGGCCTCGCACGCGGTGACAACGTGGACGACCACGGATCCAGTCCAAACGATCCCGAGTATGGCGTCCTTTCGGCTCCCGATCTGTCACTTCTTGAAAAAAAAAAACGAAACCCCCCACGGAGTATCTTTCCATCAACTACAATATTTTGGTACGTGCAGAAGTGAAAATTCTTTGGTACGGCAAACTAAATCTTTGAGGAAGACGGACCTTGTTGAAAAGAACACGCATGACCTCGTCCAACAATGAAGCAATACTTGAATAAACTTTTTACAGAAAATAAATGACGATAATGATTATTTTAAAAGGTATAATATATTATGATAATATTTTTTAGTATTTTCTTGGTTCTTTTTTTTTCTAAGAGCTTTTGAAATATTTTATAATTAGCATCAACAATCAAAAGAGGAAAAAATACCGAGCGGCTTAAAATCCCCGCCAATAAAATTGCCAACTAAATCTTCGGGGAGAAAACCTTCGGATTTCTCAGACAAGACCGGATTTGCCCTCACCTAGCCGAATGTACACGCATGACTTGGTCCAAATATATCGCGATCAACTCGTTTTCAGTCGAACTTTTAATACTCAGCTTCTTGCAGAAAAGTGATGGATGAAATTAGCGTCCTACGCAGAGAAAAAAAACATAAATGGAAAAATACCCAACATCCAGCAGCTCCTGATCCCCGCTTATGAAAGTGCATCTAAATCTGCCACCTAAAGCTTTTGGAGAAACTTCGTACTCCGCTAAAGAGCCGTTATTTCCCCTCAACTTGTTGAACAAACATTTCGCAATCAACATCAAATTTTGAAGACTCAACTTCTTACAGGAGAGTGACCATGCCGAACATGGAGCAACTACTTTTCGGTAATTGTGGTAACGAAATGATGCGAACCGGAAAAAAATTCGTTGTGCAGAGAATTTCGTTGTGTAGATTATAGGTGAAAACAAAAGTCTCAATGCAAGACGGAGCCAACCGGTAGTAAAAGAAAAGTCGAGGTCAATTTCACTGCATCGAAAAGCATCAAGTGCACCATTAGGTGGTTTATCGGCAGGGAAAAAAACCTCCGACCTTCACTGAACCAGGATAATAAAAACGTAACACATTTTCTCACTAGGGTGACAAGTGCTGAAGTCAAAGCCAAACGAATGACAATTTCCCAGTTGATTCGTCAAAATGATGCGGACTCATCTCCGAGTTGAACACGCTGGATAAGAATCACGATTCCTGTGCAGAAACGTGCGCATTCTATGCAGAAAAAAAATATATATACAGCACACCCTAGAGCCAGAAAGCTTCTAATCCCCCGCTTATAAAAAGTGCATCGCAATAAAGCCCTTCACCACCACCAAAATCCCGGAGTAACGGGCAGGCGTAAATCCGCAAAGCTCACGCACACAAAAAGGTCAAATGAAAACAGCCAGTGTTTGTTTTTTCTCCGATTCCGATCACAACAGAAAATTTTATTTCGCCCCCAAAAACGACGGGTCGGTCGCCATCAGCATCAACGAAAAGGGGAAATAAAAACGCACCTGAGATCTAAGAATTATCACATTCTCCTAGCCGGCTCAGGCCTTCTCAGCGACGACAACATCATCATTCGCGCCGAGGCTGCGAGCCAAGAAAAAGACCGGGCGCTGCACCGACATGCAACCCCCCCAAAAAAAAAATTTACTCAAGTGCGATTACCCACGAGAACCCCACCCCCATGGATGACCACGACTTACATTTCTTCTTCATCACAGTAAACTACTCCAGCAGAACGTCATTCACTGAGAGGTGAACGCACTTAAAGCAAAATCTTAACACACCTTATGAACTCTCGATCGCTCCATGGAGAAGAAGAGGTGAACGGTCTGCGGAAACGAGGAAATTCGCAAGCTTTTCATGAGAAGAAGACAGAAAGGATAGAACAGTTCAGTACAGTAATCGCAGCCTCAGTGAGAGAAAAAATTATGGCGCAACGCCGCCAGTCGCACATCAGCGCAGCTTCCAGTAACTCACAGTGGGGAAGTGTATCAAAATACGGTCATAAGCGTATTCGCCCCTTTTTTTCTAGGTTCGGGGATAGAAACAAAAATTTGACTTTGCCGGTGTCACACCCTTTTCCGAAAGAGTCAAAAATACGAGCGCAGACGGACGCTCGACCCCGAACTCGACGCGGCTACGAAAATCCCTCAGGCGAGATACCCAAAAATATTACACGTAATCGAGATGCCCAAAATTATTCTTTTACCTCTGTCTTTTCTTCCGTCTTCGCGACCAAGAACATGAAAAGAACACCAGAGAGAAGCCCAAAAATCACAGTTACCCTTTCCTCGTATGCAAATCTACAGAACAACACGTCCTCTCATTTCTGTGGCTAAATCGCAGGGCGTTCGCCAAAAACTCGAAGTGCTCTTTTCCACATCAGGAGTTCGTTCGAAATTCATTTAAATTCAGTTGAAGCATCGCCAAGACGATCGAATCACGGCCACAAAAGGCCCCTCTATCCTATTTACGCCACAATTTCCACGAAAAACATTAATCTTCCAGAACTTGCGATGAAATCCATAAATCTCGCAACAGATTTAGCTATCGATTTCACTTTCCGTACACTAAAAAATACTCGAAAGAAACAGTTACACATTCGAAAAAAAAAGGTACTTCCTAGCTGTATTTTTTTCATCATTATTCAGTAAATCCTGACCTCTTAAGAGCTTACTGGAATCGAACTCATGGCATAGGGAAAAAAGAATTCTTTGCGAGCCACGGAATCGAGCTTTTTTCTTCGTCTTCGTGAAGACGAGAGAGAGAGATGCACACAACGTAAGTGCATCATACAGCCTATAATCAACCACCGATCGAACCCAGGACTAGGCACTTCGAAACCCTCAAATTCACCACAGAAGAGGACACGTCGTCATCACTCGCACGAAAATTTCATCTCGGAATTGTCTGACACACCGACTGGGCATCTCGAGAACATAAAACGCTCCAGCGCGTCGGGGGAAACAGAACACACTTCTCGAAATATAGCGTGGTCGCGACTGCAAAAAGACTCTTCCCCTCTTCGTTGAACCCGGTTCAAAAAGTCCCCCCCACATCCACCGAAGGCTTTCACATGATACAAAAGTATGGAAAAACATCAGGACATGATTCAACATGACGAGTAAAAAATCTGACCCTCATGGCAAAACCGAACCACTTCCAGAACAAGCAATTTCTCATCGCACTCAGGTGCGCGTTTTCAAACAGGAAAAAAAACCGCCGACGACGACGACGACATCGCCTACACATAAATTAAACCGATAACTCGAATGACCCACCACGAAAGGACTGCCTTTTTTTTAAACCAAGACACTGAATTCACACGCATCGCAGCGGCGATCCATCATCACCTTAAGCATTTACGACTCCCGATCTCCGTGGAACGAGTGGAATCTCATGGCCCTCGTTTTGCCTGACTTTGGCATCCGCCTGGTGTTTTGCATCGCCGATTCTGAAGCAAAAACGAACATAACCACACCATCAAGCCAACAACGCTTCAAAAACACATCACCGTCCCTCGTCGAATTTCCGCCACACAATCGCGACAAGTTGAATTATTGACATGAAAACGATTCTCACCTGCAGAGTTGTTGTTGTTGTTGCTGCTGTTGTTGTTGCTATTGGTGAAATTCGCCATGGAAGCCATGAGCATCTCAGTGGACATCATCTGCTGGTTGCAATTATTGGCATCGAATTCTCGCGGCACTTGCAACGACACATCCTGCATGCCAGTCCTGTTCACAGCAGTCATCATCGCGTGTTGTTGCTGTTGTTGTTGTTGCTGCTGCTGCTGCTGCGGGTGCATCGAATACTGGGTCGCTGACGAAGTTGGCACCCGGTCAGCCATGCTCACGAACGGCGTATACGACGCGGTCCCACCAGTCATCTCCACCGGCATCATTTGCGGCGCCTGTTGCCCAAACTTGACGCCTTCGTAATACGGCGGCGGGGGCATGTGCTGATGCTGGTGGTGATGCTGCTGTTGTTGTTGTTGTTGTTGCTGCTGCTGTTGTTGATGCACAGCCTGTTGGAACCCCTGCGGGGTCTGGTACTGCGGCAACGGCGGCATCGGGAACCGATCCTGACTCTGCGACGCGTAACTCATCGTCATGAGATTCATACCGGCCGTCGACGTCGCCGACGTCATCCCGCCGCCGTAATCCAGACTCTGCGTCGACGAGTAGCAACTCGTCGGCATCTTCATCATCGCCGTCGTGGCCTCAGCCTGCGACTGCTGGAACATCATGTCACGCGCATTCAGTTGGTCCAAAGACGCCACAGACGTCGAGGCCTGGGCATAGAACGGCTGCATGCCGCCGCCATTCTCTTTGATGGACGCCCAGTACGGCGGCGGCGGGGCCTGCGAGTACACAGGCTGGTACTGTTGCGTCAACGGGAAGTCCTGCTTGGCCCGTTTGGACGCGGTCGGCACACTGGGCTGCTTGAACAACTGCGGCTGCGACACCGGGATGCCCAAGTCCGCGCACGAGGGAATGAACGTTTTGTGACTGTTCGCGCTCGACGTGCACAAATGCGCCGACTTGTTTTGCGCGTGCGAATTCCGCGCCAAGTCCATCGACACGGGGAGACTCGACTGACGCGCGTGCACCTGCGGCAACTGATGCTGCTGCTGCTGCTGTTGTTGTTGTTGGTGGAGGTGGTGGTGGTGCTGCATCACAGATTTGGGGAACTGGGGTGGGGGCGGTGGTTGCGGCGGCGCGACGACGGGGACTTGTTGCTGCTGTTGCAGAGCAGGCGTCGTCACGACAAACGTCGGCTGCTGCTGCTGCTGTTGTTGCACACTGTCCTGCTGGCACGGCTGACGCTGCGCAGTGCCACACCGCTTCACGTCACTCCACTGGAAATTGGCATTGGCCATGACGGACGTGCACGGGGCCGGGAAGCATTGCTTGATGCCCAAGTAACGCTTGTAACTCGGATGGATCATGAGGATGGGATCACTGCGCATCGGCGGGTACAAGTGCTTGGGCAACTCGTACTCGGTGCCAGTGTCGACCGAAAGGGGCTTGAGAAACCGCGAGTCCACGTGGATGTTGCCGTACTCGCACATGCGACGCGAAAGCTGCGTGGGAAGACCGTGCATGCGACGCACGTGGCGCACGTAGCCGTACGATTTGGACTTGAGCACCTGGCACTTGCAGCTCGGATTCCGACACACTTCACTGCCAAACTGACCCAGGTCCTGGGGCATGAACACTCGGTCCGACACCACCTGGCCGGGGCCAAGATTCGTGTCCATCTTCACCACGCTTTTCACGCCGATTCGGCCGGGAGGGGCTCTGCAGTTCTGATCCGCCATCATCCACGGCTGCGGATTCATCGGCCCGTAACCACACACTACGGCCATGTTCACTTATGCAAAATATATCCGCGCAAAAGTACTTGGGGGAAACAGGCACCGTCGAAGGTGCACTCGCCTAGATGGCAGAGACAAGGAAACAAATGTCAGTCAGTCAGTCAACTCGAACAACACAAGATGCAATCCGGCAGCGAGATAACGGCTCCCATGACGCACATCACTCAACTTCGCCCAGGAAAAAGTCACACGCGACCGAACTTACAAAATTCTGAGACCAGAAACTTCCATCTCCGAGAACAGTAACCGAACTTGAAGAATTCTGAGACAAGTAACTTCCATCTCCGAAAAAAGACGCATAAACAACGCTCGCGTCACAGCCGTTTTCCACCAGAAGGCCATTCCGTGTCTCACTCGGACCAACGAACATCGAAGTGCCGAAATATCGCAAGTCCGAAAATGAAAAAAAAAAATTCACAACAGCGGAACCACCTGTCGACCGATCCGACGGTTGACCGATAATTAATACTGTAATGCTGGAAGTTAACGATCATTTGATCGAATATCTCGGAAATATAACTGAGTTGCGAATTCTCGCGACGGGAGACACACCTGGTCATCACTAAAAAATGGCGCACTATTCCCAGGGCACGGCTCAACCGACGCACACCCACCGACCGACAGTCACAGACTGGCGGGCCAACGTAGCCGCGCGCTCTGGTATACACCCGATCATATGGCCTCTCGCAGAGCTCCATCTCCAAAATCTTCCCGCCAAAAAGCCACCAAGCGACAAAATTTTTTGAGGCAGTTACACGCATTTTTCGATTTAAAATCGTGTTCAGGAGTTCCCACTGCTTCGAACACCTAGTCTAAATAGTTCTTCACAAGTTCAAACGTTGTTATAAAAATTACTTTTTTATATTGATCCACACGAAATATCACGCGATCAGGAGAAAAAATGCGTAAAAAATAGGATGATCGTAGATTAGTAAAATATGAATTATTTTCTTGGTTTTCTTTCACATAGCAAGGCTGAAACACGATTCTAAAACAATGACGTTTTACGTCGGTGCTCTTTCAGTGCCTGAATAAAGTTGGAACCTCCGGAAGTTCCACGAGCAGATCGGAGTGAGCAGCAGACAGACAATATACGCACTGACTCCCTTTGTTGTGGAACGATTCCTCCGTTCCACATGTTCTTTGATCGAATGTTAGAAGAGTTTTGCATCTGTTCACATAATTCTAGGCAAGTTCACTCCAATTCAGTAAGGACACATCCTTTCTACAACGGGCGACATCTAAGGAAAGGAGTCAGAGAAACTGCACAGCACTCCCACCCAGGACAAGACTGGTTATCTCACATTCATGACACCCCTAGGTCAGGTCCAGCACACATTTTTACTTCAGAGGCTGAAGATGGGACCAGCTTTGTTTCTAAGAAACATCACCACCAGTGGTGCCCAACTCATAGGTGGGCAAAATGCTGCAAATAAATCAACTCCTATAAAACATTTTCACATAGTAGACTCCTTTGAATTAAACAAAAGTCAACAAGTCCCTTTTATTTTTTTAAGCAAGCTTGGCAATTTTTACCTTCAAACTTTGGTAAAATCGGTTGGGAATTTAAATCGAATGACATGTCGGCTGAAAATTAAATCTTCCGCCTGTTTTTTCTCGTTATTTTCACTTCGCGACACGTATTATTTTCTTTGCTCAACCCAAACGGAAATAATAGTATCTGCCTCATTCAAGATTTTCCAATTTCTTCGGAGGATCCAAAACAGAAAGCTACAAAACGCCTGACTCAAGAGCTTTTCTGATGGTTGTTCGGGCAGCCGTTTTCCACAAGAAGGCCATTCCATGTCTTAATCGCACCAACGAACATCAAAGCGCCGTAAGATCACAAGTCCAAAAATGAACCCAAAAATTCACAACAGCGAAACTACCCGTCGAACGATGAGTAATACTGGACGTTGACACTTCAGGCCATCATTTGACAGAATTATCTCAGAAATATTAACGACTGGGACTTGTGTATTCTCGCAGCTGGACACCATGGACAACACTCACACATGGGAGCACTGCACCACGTCTCCGATCTGACGCACACCCACCGACCGACAGTCACTGACTGGCAAGCCCGGGCAGCCGCGCGCTTTGGTGTACTGTACATTCGGTGTGGCAGGCGGGGCATACTCCCCAGGCGCAGAACTCCCCCTGAAGGAGGATTAATCTACATCGGCCGGCGGAGTGAATTCTGCAAAGGCTTTCCTGCAGTGAGCACTTATGAAGTGGTTCCTTACACAGAATTCAGAGGAAAGTTGATTACACTTTGATTCTTTAAGCATCATTTACTTGGGCAAGAATAATGATGACTTCTGCGGAAATCTATATTCACAGAAGCCCTTGTACAGACCATGATGCCTCACAATGTCTGCAAAGTTTATTATGAGGAGTTGAAGCATGGTAATACATTGTAAAATGATGAATGCAACTAGAAAATACAACAAGAACAATATTTTACCATGCTTTAACTGGTAACAAAGGCCACCAAGATATAATTTTTTTGTGAGGCAGATACTCTTGTTTTTTTCATTAGTGTGTAGGAGTTCCCATTGCTTTGAGCCAACTCTGGTTCAACTCACTGCACTTACACTTACTGCATCTGTGCTTGCCAACCAAAAGTTATTGCTGGCACAGCTTGCAACTGTCATCACTCCATCTGTGCACAACTCTTGGCAGAAATAACTTGCTGCTGATACAAGTTGATGCAATTGAATGTGAAAGAATGAAATGGATGGGAAAAGTTTAATATAGCAACATATTTGAGAGTTTGCAAAACATAAGAGCATCCATACTTGTACTGCCTTATCCTACAGCTGCACTAGTCACATTTTTCAGTTGGACAGTCTGTAAATCACCCTCATGAGTATGGGGTTGTGTGATATCCAAAGGCTCTCCCAGATGGTCTTGGTAATTTACACCAGTTTTTGCTTGCCTGTTAATATTTTTATTTATTTTTTTCTACAACCAGAAATGTAATCCCCCTTTGCAGTTCTGGTTCTCACACCTCCATGTGATGTGGGTGTCCCACACCTTATCCCTCACATAGATGAAGCCATCACATGAAATTTTATCATGCCCTTGTTGGCTGATTAGAATCTCCATCCTTTATAAATGAATAATATAGATAAAATAGGAATAAAGCTTGTATAATGTTACATTTACTCATGCAAGATGGTCATTATTCATGTGAGCTTGGCAAGTTATTGCAGTGGCAAGTTGTCTGTGTGGCACACTGTGTGCCACAACTTTACTTGCCACAGTTATTCAGGCAAGTTGTACCAGGTTGTCTGTGCAGCAAGCAATGACAGCAGCAAGTCAGTAGAGTGGCAAATTATGACATCAGCAAGTCATAAGGGGTGCAGTTAGTTATGAGTGTGGCAAGTTCCAGAGTGGTGAAGTTGTGTTGACAGGCTTTGAGCCCCTAGTCTAAATAGTTCTTCACAAGTTTAAACATTATTATAAAAATGACTTTTTATATTGATGCACACGAAATATAACAAGATCAGGAGAAAAAATGCGCAAGAAATAGGATGAATGTAAATTAGTAAAATATGAATTATTTTATAGGTTTCCTTTCACATAGCAAGGCTGAAACACGATTCTAGAACAATGACGTGTTACGTCGGTGCTCTTTTGGTGCCTAAGCAAAGTTGGAACCTCCGGATGTTCCAAGAGCGGACAGGTGTGAGCAGCAGACAGACGGAATACTCACTGACTCCCTTTGTTGTGGATGATTCCTCCTTTCCACATGTTCTTTGATTGAACCTTAAAAGAGCTCGCTTCTGTTGATGTTTTCTGGGTAAGTTCACTCCCATTCTGGCTTCATGGAAGAATACCGTAGTGCAGAAACGGTGCATCTCAGGAATTATCTCATGGAATACCCAATTGAGAATCTACTGACCATACCTCAAGAAGTGTATCATAAGGGAATCAGGAAGTGTGTTATAATAAGATTGTTTCAACATTTACTCTCCAGGCTTTTTGTTGAGACTTGAGAACAAGGTTGTTGCATTATGAAAATGTATGTCATAAAGTTGATTTTCTGTACAGTAATGCAATTTAACTGAATTTTAGAAATTCCACCATGCATTCATTCTAATGTAGCCATGTAAATTAAACTGGAGGCGTCCCATTGTGAAATTGAAATAGTATTGCAACTGCCGGTGCATTACATATATTCAAATGTACAGTCAACCCCCGTCTAATGGACTTGATTCGTGCAAGGGACAAGTCTGTAAGACAAAAAGTCCTTTACACAAATTCAATTGCATAAAAAATTTAAAATTTCAATTTTCAACACTAATTTTAAACCAAAAGAAGTCTGTTTGGCAGATTTTGTCTGTTGGGTGGGAGGAAAAACTGCTTGCAGAGCTGGCCTGTTCGGCGAAAATCCCTTACACAGGAGGTCTGTTAGGCGGGGGGCCACTGTATTACATTTTCCTTTTTCATACAGATCAGGGAAATATCATTGTAGTTTCCCATGCCAGGATGCAATAGTTGATGTTGAAACTTGAGGTAGACAGACAGACTCTCTCTGTATAAAGGTTCTCTAGAACAAAACTCTCTCTCTGATGAATTTTTTCTGGTCCCCTGGATTTTGTTGTAGAGAGAATCCACCTATATCACAAATACTTGCAAGGGCAACCTCAACAAGGAAGAACCCAAGCTTTTGATTAGCAGGCTCGCAAATCTCCAGGCGTGATATTTCTGTCGCCAAACCCGTGGAATTAATGGAATCTGACAGCTGAAGACCATCTCCAGGAAAGCTAGGCGACAGAAACTGCTTTAGTGACGCAATTCCATGAATAGGTCGCCAGCGGTGAACGCGACGGGAGGCGAAATTATCTACAAACATCTCACCAATTCCCCCTGAGCCCCTCATTATTTCCCTCGGATCCCGTTCCTTTCTCACCTAAATCCCCGCGATTTTCAATTTCAATAGATTAGGATATTTCTGCGTTCGAACTCGTTAAGTGGACGAT